CTGAGAGGGGGGGCAGTGCTATTGCTTAGCAAGTTGCATAGATTATGGCATAGATTATGGCATCCTCTCCAGCTCTGTGCGTTGGCAGAGCCCCCCAGACAGCACTGGGAGCAGGAAACACTGGCAGGGTCACCCCCAGCCCCTGCCCACTGGAAGAGGAGTAACAGCAGGTGAAGGGCAGCGAGGCAGGGAGGAAGCACATCCACACTCATCCTCAGCTCTGGGGTGGGGACAGGGGGCTGAGCACGGCCTGCACCCCAACACTACAGCTGGGAGCAGCCCATGGACCTCGAGGCTGCCTTCTCTGAGCCCCACAGCTCCACCAGGGAGGCACAGGAGGTTTTGGTATCCACACGTGGATCAAAGCCAAGGCAGAGGTGTGGCCTGACCAGCTGGAGCCCTCTGACATCTTTGGTAAGGGAGGAGCAGGAGCAGCAGCTCCCTCCCCGGCTCCAGGCAGGTGCTGAGCACGCAGGTACCCGTGGGACAGGGACAAAGTTCCTCTCATCGCCCTCGCAGGCGCCTGCACAGGAGGGAGGGGAAGGTCTGTCCCCACCCTGGGCACAGCCTGGGTGCCCAGTGGTGGGGAAGGGGCTCCCATCTGCTGCCCAGGGCTGAGGGATGGAGCCAGATCAGCACCCAGGCCTGGGGAGGAGGTCCCTGCCCTGGGAACTCACAAACATCCACTGCAAAAGTTGGGGTGGCTCCAGCCCACCTTCATCCAGCCCAGGGGGGCTCCCTGTGTCCTCCCCCCCCAACACCTCACAAGGGCTTTCACACCTCAGGCGGGTGTAGGGAAAGAGAAGGGTGTCAGCCCCTGTTTCCCCCCCCATCAGACGGGGTCTGTCCCCACAGGGTCCACCCCAACCACCCTCCTCTCCCTCCCCGAGCTGCAGAGCCCCAGGACAGCTGACCTCAGTGGCCATCCAGGTGGTTGTGGGACAGGGAATAACTCCCATGATTCCCAGCACTGTTGCCCATCTCCTCCTCCTCCTCCTCCTCGAAGAGCTGCTCGTTGATGAAGAGGCTCTCCAGGCCGAACTCCCGCTCGTGCACAGACACCTCGCTGGGGGTGACGTGAGAGGCACCACCCACGAACTCAGCAAACCTGGGGGAAGCCGTGGGGCAGCGGGCTGGGGGTGTGTCTGGTGCCCCTGGAGGGGCCCTGGCACTCACAGAGCCCCAGGGAAGTGTTTTGGTGCCGGGACGGGGCATTATCCATCCCTTCCCCCGGGCTCCCCCACACCACAGACCCCTGTGGCTCCACGTCCCTGTCTCCAAGGCCAGGGGTGACAGCACAGAGGGACACAGGGTGGGGCCAGGCTGCCAGGGATGGTACCTTTTGGGAGACTGGATGCGGGACACGGCGGTCCAGGCGGAGAAATCGGGGCTCTGGCAGAAGCTGCGCAGCTCCTCGAGGGCCCTGCGCGTCTCCACCTCGCCCTGCAGCCGATACTCCTCCTCTGTCAGCAGCCGGCGGGGGCTCGGGCCCAGCCTGGAGCTCTGCACTCTCCTGCCAGGGGGGCAGCACCTCTTACTGCCCACCCACAGGGGCTGGGACCCCCAGGTTGGGACCAGCTCCCATGGCAGGACCCCCAGCGCAGAACCCCTGGAGCAGGATGAGCTCCTGGGGCAGGACCCCCAAGGCAGAATCCCTGGAGCAGGAACCCCAGGGCAGGATCCCAGGGCAGAATCCCTGGAGCAGGAACCCCAGGGCAGGATCCCAGGACAGGAGCAGCCCCTGGGGAGCTGGGCCAGAGCTGGGGTGGGAGGAGCGGAGCCCGTCACTCTGACCTCCTCTCCTCAGTCCCAAGGGCCCTCTCCTGCACCAACCACAGGGAAAAAAGGGCACAACCCCCCCAGTTACCCAGCCCAGCCCCAAAGCCCTGTGGAAACACCCCAGTTCCAGCACACAGCCCCCATCCAGCAGCTCCTCCCCACACAGCCGGGGCCTCACCGATAGACAGCGAAGGCCCACTGCAAGGGGTAGTCCAGGTTCTTGGTGCAGACAGCAACCAGCACCAGGGCCAGGGCGATGGGGTGGATCTGGATGCCCGAGTACATCAGCAGGAGCCCCAGGAGCTGCAGGGCCCAGGAGAGGAGGTTGATGCTGCGCTCGTTCTCCAAGGGGCCGTACCTGTAGCACACGCCGAAGCTCAGGAAGCCCACGAGCAGCAGGTAACCTGTGGGGCAGCACAGGGATGGGGCAGGAGCCCAGGGCTCCACCAGGAGGAGGGTGAACCTGCCTGGAGCCCCCCCCTCTGGAGCACCAGGGACAGGGAGCCCCAGCCTCGCTCGCCGGCACGTTCCGGCTGCGCCAGGAGACGTGGTCGGTGGTGCCAGGGCTCCCACCCACCTAGCAGGTACTGCCAGTAGGACTTGCAGATCTCCTGCAGGTTCTTGAAGACCAGCTGCAGCAGGTAGAGGGAAAAGGACCAGCCTCCCACCAGCAGGAAGTACACAGGGCTTTTCTGGCAGAGGAGAGGGGTGTTGGAGGCAGGCGGAGGGGCAGCCCTGGTGCCTCCCCTGGGTGCTGGGCTGTTCTATGCCAAGCCAGACCTGCAGCCCAGCACACCAGTACAGGTGTGGGGAGGGCTATGAGGCCTCTCAGCCCCCAGCAGGTGACACCCACCTTGGGCATGACCTTGGACATCACGTAGACGAGGACGAGCAGCGAGGCCAACAGGCCAAAGCTGATCCCAGCCGAGTAGTAGAAGAGTTGGCTCCTGCAGGGACCACACAGGGGATCACACCGGGGGGTTGAGGGGTACCCGTGCACAGACACACCCCCAGGAGGCTCTGACCCACCTTCCCCAGCCCCCAGAGACTGGGGGGACTCACCTGCTCAGCATGTCCCCACAGAAAAACAACAGCAGGCCCAGGAAGAAAACCAGGAAGAGCTTAGGGTCAAAGCCTGGAAAGAGAGGGAATGCAAGTGGAGAGGAACCCTGGCACAGTGGCATCCAGGCTGAGCTCCCACTGCCCATGGGGTCACAAGCCCAGGGACAGGGCAATGCCCAGGTGAACCTCCAAGGGCCCCAAATCCCCCCATGGACAAAGCCATCCTATCTTCTCCAGACCCTGCTCTCATCCCAAGGAAGGAACAGCCTTGCTGGTCCTTGGGTCGTGTCCTGGCTGTCCCCTGGGGAGCTCCAGGCCCCCCTTCCCCCTGCTC